CACCAGGTAAACCCCGCCGCGCAGCGGTAGGGCCGGGAGCTCCCTTTGAGGCGCCCGGGCCCCAGCAGCGCCGAGCAGAAACCAGGAGCCAAGGTAGCAAACTGTATTTATGTACACATCAGGAATGGACAACACACAATGTACAGATCAGCACATAAACAGGGAGAGCAACAGCACGCCCCCCATATACCCTATGGGCCATGTACAATAACATGGAAAAAGGAAAGGAGTTTCTTGGCAAGGCTTTGAGCAAGATGATCTAGCACCGCCGGACGGGTCAGGGAAATAGAAAAGGTGGCTCACGAGCTCGGCAAGCAGCAATGGCAACCTCCTGAAGGGCAACAGGATGGTTTTCTTTAAAAAAAGAAAAAAAAAAATGAGAGCAATTTCATGCTTCACGAGGAGCTCAAACTTGCCACACAAACGCATTTAAAATTCCATACATTTTGGGAAGAGTAGAGCAGAAATTTGTCCTAATATTTTATATATATATGTATATATATACACAAACACACACACACCCCCTTATTTTCTTGCTTACCAGGTCTTGACAGCTTTTCTGCACAGACAGCTTGGTGATACTAAAAGTGTATTTTTATCCCTCATTTCTAGCTCAGGTTTATCTACCAAAGACAAGTATTAAAAAGAAACCAGAGGCCACATATTTCTAGTACCAAGTGAGAAAGAAAGACACAGTCTTCGGAGTTGTACTAAAGAGAGTGAAGTTACAAATTCACCTCAATAAACAGGTAAGGTGGCAGCGATGGGCTTCTTTTCTATAGACTTAACAGAACAGAAAACATTTCTGCTCTGTGGTGAGCATTAGATTTGCCAGCTGCTCTGATATCTCCATTTCCAATAATAATTCAGGACAATTCTCATTTAGGCATGGAAAAAAAAAAGTACATTTCAGTCAAATTGTTTGTATTACAACAAAGCACGTGGAAATTTGCAATATTTCAAATTCTGCCTCTACACTAAGCATCATATCTGCATATACAGGCCTTGTGTCATTGGCTTACGAGTTCAGAACTAACCGCGGCTGCAAAAAAATGCTAAAAAAAAAATAAGTCAACTGCTCTTTTCCTCCTCTTGGCCAGATTTATAAGAGAAAACCTTTAAGCTCAGCATTGGCATGAAAATATACAGAACTATTTACATGATTTGTAGGGCAAGAACGATGAGAGCCAGGAATGAACACTCCACATCCTAAAATATGGATGAATATTTAGGTCACAGGTGTGAAGAAAAAAATATAAGATAACAGCAGATAGACAACGCATATTAATCTGAACTTAAATCAAATTGGCCCAATTTCAGACATAATCCCTGCAGATAACGTTTTGACTTGCACACGCAGTATGTCAAAGACAAGAAAGCAATTTTGGTAAATGTCCTCTCAAGTTTTAAGAGGATCCTGTGTGATTGCCATGTTCATTTGTTTACTATTTAATAGCAAATCCAAGGACAGATGAAGGAGTGAGGCACGATGAGGATCCTTAAACTCCTCTTCTCAAAAGGGACGGTGTTTCTTAGCACGCTCCACCCGTCTGCTGCTGAAACACATCGATAGTGTCTTCATCTTCCATCTCCAGCTGTTGGATTAAGACAAAATACAAATGTTGATACGTGCAGCTGTGTGTTTCCAGAAGCGTTTAGTTCTCTACTCCTACACAGCACAAAATATTAAATATTTTCCAAAGGGAAGCACCTCAGCCAAACGTGTTTCTACTATTCTTGCTGCAGGCGTTGTCAATGCAATGAATTCCCCAAGGCCTCAGCATTACCGGTGCTGATGGCAGCATTTGGGGGCAGTAAGTGCTCAAGTCAGGCTGAGACACAAGCAAGAAGACAGAGCTCCAGCACTATCCAGGGGCCCTATCCACACAGACGCCCCAAACCACTCCCAGGAGTGAGAAAAAAAATAAAAAGGAAAAATATCCCAGCCTAGACAAATTATTCGGAACACTCTAAACTCACGACAACAGTTTTATAAGCAAAATGACTCTGAAATACTTTGATCCATGACATCAGAATATTTTAACAGCAATAAAACTGAAGTGTTTTTTTTTTTTTGGTCATACCTGTGCAGGTGTGTCTGCTTCATTTATTGGTTGTCCATCAAACCTGAATCTAATCTGCCTCATTGACAAGCCCTGCAAGTTCAAAGTAATTAATTCAATATATTAATTTGATGCAAATAGGCAAAGCCCTTACTACACAAATCAAAGCAGAGCTATTTAGATTGACAACCCAAGGCAGCTACTGCCACAGTATGGGCACTGTATGAAACAACAGGCGTTTAGGTTCTATCTGAACTCTGGTACCTGCTCTGCAAGGTGCAAATATCAAAAGTCAGTGGCAACATTTAAGTTCAAGGGTGGCAGAAAGGAAGAAATAAAAAAAATACCAGCCAGAAGGGATATAAAAGAGATCAATTAGAAGACAATTCTGTAGGGTCTCAGAGGGTAGGATGGAAAAGAATGGCAAGCATTTCTCATTCCATCAGAGAAGTAACAGTATTCTAAGTTCACTTAACAGAAAACGCTTCTCAAAATGTAACAGCTACCTTTTTGTGCAACTAACTATCAAAATTAACGACCAGTATTTAAGTGGAAAGACTCTGACTCACGCCACGCATGCTCTCCTAGTTCTAGTGACCTTCTGATAAAGGAAACATGAAGCAACAGTTGCTGAAGGAAAAAAAAGAACTTGTAGGCCTTTATGCATATTATTACTTGGAAAAGTCATTACGGAAAACACGAGGGCTTTTAGTGTTACATTTATGTTAGTGAGTTAATGCTGCCCTTAAACCTGTGTTGTATTCATGTATTATGAGAGGGTTTAATTGTGTGATGCAGTTTCTATTCCCCGCCTCAGCGATCCAAGTCTTTATTTTGCCTTCTAAAACCCTGTGCTACTCCAGTCCGTTTCCAATCCCACGTCACATCACCGCGCAGAAGGAAAAGCTCTCCCTACACCTTTTAGGATGATGCTGTATTTGGTTCTTGTAGCATCACGTCCCTCATGCTGGGGACATCAGGTGCGACACGGGGCAGGACGCAGCACCCGGGTAGGCAGGGAAAGGCTCCCGCACAGATCGGATCCAGAGTGATGCCAGAAAACACAATTTCACTCCGCTTCTGGAAGCTCTTCACACTCCTGCCCTTCCTTTTTCCATGCTGCCTCATGCAGAGCAGAATTTCAGAGCCTACGGACTCAAGAACGGGGCTAAGGGGGTAAATCACCATGTAACCGAGCATATAACTGAGGAAAGAATATAGAAAGAATCGAGTCTCATATATAGGGATAGATACACACACAAAACAGCCTCCTGCCACCTGTAGGAGACAGCGATTGTAGCTGTGGAGCAAGCAGCGAGGAATAGGAAAAAATATATGTATTTGTAAACAAATGAACAAAAAAAGCCACAGCATGTTACAGTTTCTCCTTCTGCCACTTTCCAACCCGAAAACACGGGCTCTATAAAGTCAGTAAAGACTTTACAGGTGAAACCGAGGGTTGGGGAACTAAGGCTTCCCGCTGCCACAGGGTCAGTTAATCTGGGAGGCAAGAGGAGAGCTCCAGGAATCCCGCGTGGCGGCGCCGCGCCGGGGGGCCGCGTGGGGCCGCGTGGGGCCGCGTGGGGTACCTGCCGCTCGCAGTACGCCTTCATGAGCTTGCTCAGCGGCGTGTGCCGCTTGATCTTGAACTGCACCACGGAGCCATCCTGCCCGGCCACTTTCAGGTTGATGTGGTCGTTCTCCGTCTTAACTCCTTCCTGAGCGGGGAAACAGACGCAAGGAAAGGGCGGAATGTGGTGAAGTTCAGCGCTGCTTTGAATAAACGCGATCTGCAGAGCGCGTTAGAAGCAGCTCCCGAGCGCCTCAAACTTTCCTTCCTGCTCATAAAGGCAGGATGTTCTCCATGGGACACGGGAAGGGGCGGGGGGGACTCGCGGTTTTGCACTTTGCAATTCGGGCAATAAGGGAAAAATAAAGCAGCGACAAGAAACTTCAAAGGGAGTTTGGCACGGGACGTTTCCGCAGCCTTTTCCCCCCGTTCCCCCCCCGGCAGCGGGAGGACGAGGAGGAGCGC